AAACTGTTTACTACTTTTGATTTTACATCAGTGGACTCATTTTGACATCATGAAATTATTTTAGATATGATATGATATGATAGAAAATACATACCTCTATGTCAATAGTAGTGAAATACTTATTATTTCTTCATCAGTCTCTCATCTTTTTTCATTTTATGGTTCAATTATTCTTGTTGAGTAAGAAGAAATAGAAGTATTATCAACTTCTATAAGGAATATATCTCTCTCTCCACGACATTCGATTATTTAATAGAATTATTACAACAACGATGTTTGCTTGTGTGCCAACAACATTTCACTCTGTTTTTGTTCTGTTCTCTTTTCCTTTTTTTTCTTCTTCACAGGACTCACTATTATAGTAGATAGACTGCATGAATCCAAAAGAGAGATGAACACTTTTTCCTGTTTTCGCCGCATGAAGAAAAAGCAAGCAAAGAAAGTAAAATATGAGATTTAAGAACAGGAAAACTTCAAAAAAATTTATTTAGATCGATTCAATGTCAAGAGTATAAGACCGTGAGACACTTGAACAATCAAAACTTTTTTTTTTCTTAATTAATAAATGAACAGAATTGATGTACAAAAATATTGGCAGAGAGTTTTACTTCAAATTCTTAGTAGAGATAGACATTAACTAAATATGTAGATACTCAAATGGAGAGTTAAGACTTTTAAGTAGTTTTCTACACATTACTTTCTCGTTCTTAACACGTTAGAAAAGTGTGTTATATCAACAAAACATTCAATGAACGTATTCATTTGACACTAATTCTTGTTCACCATTTATAAGAAGACTACTACAGATGCAAATCTCCACTTATTAGTCATTTAAGTGGACAACATGCTCATAGCCCTCTCACACCTAGAATTAGTAACTGAGAAAAAAATGTGTAAAAAATTTACGTACATGTAACTGGTTTGATTTCAAGTGACGAAAACTAATACTTTTATCTGTGTTAACTCAATCTACTTAGTAGTAGTTCCAAATGATAATGATTGTAATAAAATTTGACATTTTTTTCTGCTATTATTATTATACTATTCATAGCGTGTGTAACTACGACCTTCTTCGTCGTCTTAGAACAGCGGTGAATGAGGAATAGTTGAAGAAAATGACATTTTTAGTTTTATCATACAATGCATGAAGATAAAAATATGCTCAAATAATTGAAAAATAAAAACTCAATCAATTCTTATACAAGAAAAAAAAAAAAATAATAAGATTTACACAGATTTAGACCTATCTCGATCTAAATAGATCGTCCGGAGGGAAAATTAGCTATTATAGAAGTCTGTTAAGTTGGATAGAGAGTTTGTGATAACTACAGAAATTCTGTTTTCAAAAATAAACAAATCAGTTTTTCTATTTATAATAATTCTATTTTATTATTTACTCTAGATCCATTGCCAATACCATCATCCTACGTCTTTTTTTAATTTAACGTAAAATAATAATTAAAGTGAAGAAAATTGTTATCATTAAAGAATAGTCATAAACTTCAGGATTTTTAGCCTAAACTAAGGAGGTTTTCTATACTATTTTCAGAAAAACTGAAGAATGGATATCTAAAGAAATCTACTATACGCAATTGTTTGTACAAACATGTAAATCTTATGCACTTTTCATTTTTACTACTAACTAATATTATTTAAGATTATCACATGTGGTCTCTTGGTGTATCCATTCGGCATCATTTACTAGAAAATTAGCAAGTCATGGCTCAACCTGAGACTCATTGAGGAACTATATGATCTTTTAGTAGTTAAATGTCGTTCTTTAGCATCATGACTTTCCGGCTTTCTCGTCGGTTTATGGTAAGTGGAGGCAATGTGCAACTTTTGCTTATTAAGTGATTAATCTGATAAATCTATAAAAGAAAACAGTTCAGATTAAGAATAGGTAGAGCAGTGTGACTCAGTCGGTTAGTGGGCAGACAACGTAGTTCAAACATACGGAGTTCGAATCCTGGCAACGGCGGTCGCGTGATCGTCTTGGACAAGCTGTCTAATGCTCATTGTCTCGGTACCTTTGGACACAGATGCAATGGGGTGGACTGCAGAGATGAAAGTTAAAGTCTAAAAAAAAAAGAATAGGTAAGATTTTTTTCATATAACCAAAATAAGAATATACAATTTGAGCTATTTATCCATACTAAAGATTGACTAGTGTTGTATAGTGTCTTTTACTGGAAACATAATTTGAAACAATATATGTGCAGTCTCACTATCTCAGACCACAAAGACGGCAGTCATTATCTTCCATTGAAAAGTATTAAAACATTTGTGGAAGTAATATTCCTCAATCGTTACTTCAAAAATATACTGTTATCAACATGTCTACCTGAATATGGCAAGATTTTTTTTAATGTAAAGATGAATATGAGTCATTAACAATCCCCAAAGAAAACAATACACGTAAAAAACGTACAGAACAGGTTAATTATGGATTATATTATACATATATTTGTCCAGAATATCGGAAAATATCCATTATGTAAATTTCAATTTAAAGCAAAACAGTCGTCTGATACTATATATGAATTATTTTTATGAAATCTTTTTCATAACATCAATGTTTTGTGCAGTTAAATTCTATGGTTAAAGTGAGATCCCATAGCTGCTCAATGAGCCTCAAATTGAAAAGCGGTGCCATGACCTGCTAATTTTCCGAGATCATTTGTGTTGTTCAAGAAAAAAAATAGTTTTTTCTGCGATTAGTTGTGTTATTTTATAACTAATTAAAAATTATTAGGAAAACCGACATCATTTGTGCATTTTTTCGCGAAAATTAGTAAACGGGATCAGTTGTACTTAATTTCCGGGATCTTAAAATGTAAATATCCCATTAAAACATTTCCATTTTAAATGTGTAAAACCGGTCAATAAATTGTCGCACTGGTCTAAAACTGTCCGTTTAACAAACATTGAATGAGTTATTACTGGATGTTTAATAGACAATTAATTACATCGTTCCCGACGTCCTGGATTTTCATGTTCAATAAGTGCCGTTTTTAATTTTATCGACTGTTTAGGAAAAAGTTATGCCAGATGCTTAGCCAAACCGAAAAAAAGTTGACCTAGCTCGTCACTGATCTATTATAAAATTTATAAAAATTTTGTCTCTAAATTATAAGGCACAGGCGTCGTGTAGGCTATTTTTTCTGTATCAACGGAAGTACTATCTCTAACAAAATAAAAGGTCGATGAATTTTTTTTGTAATAACGTTTGAACGAGCGTAGGTATGAAATAGAGTTGTCATACATTGCTGTCCCGAATAAAACACGAAAAAGTTTCTCATTTTACAAAACCAATGGTTATCATACAATCTAATTTGTTTGGACATTCATTAGCTTTCAAGTACACCTCATTATATTTCTTTATAAAAGTACAAAGTACAACCATGTTTGATGGGTTGAGTTATAGAAATAACATTTTTGAGGGTGTTCACTAACAAGTCTTTTTAGTAAAGCGCTAGCAAATTTTACTGCAATAAAACGTGCAGGAAAGCATCTGGGTGTTTGAAAATGAAGTCAGATTGTTCCTCAAGACCTTTATGGCAAAACCTCCAAAAGTAGACAGATTTTAGTTAACGCTTTTAGAAATCATTTCGACGTGGTGTTTTCGTGGAAGTTTGTTGTTACTAGGTGAAATAACCCATTTTTGATTATTTTCATCAACGATTAAATAATTCCTAACTCAGTCAAAATCCATCCAACCTACTTCAGAATATCAGAAAATACTCTATCTTATCTGCAGCATACCATACCGTAAAGCGCAATAAATGTTGGAAAAAACAACAGAAAATACTTTGACTTCTAGAAAGGTTTCCCATTCACAAAGATTTCAAGGTTGTTCATACGTCATATACTCGCTTAGGTATCACGTATGTAAACAGAAATCGAAACGTGCTGAATTTATCAAATATTTATTTCAAAACGAGTAAACATATTTTGAATTACAAATTACTCCTCGGTTTTTATTCATTAATGTCTATATTAGACGGTTCTCGCATTATAAAATTCACATGAGCAAAAAATAACACAATCTTTTCTTTTTCCATTATTACATGTTGTTTTACTCATAACTTCTTTTATTTCTTGTAGCTCTAGTCTCGCTGAAATAGCCGAGTATTTTATTTTGTTCATCAACTTCTAGTTTTTATATAACCGCAATAAAGGCCATCTTCCTTTTTCTTTTTTAGCTTAAAGAACAAAAGAAAGAAAAAAATGTGTTGTCAAATGAGAGAAAATACGTTTTTATGTTCCTGCGTCAAATACGATGAGTAATTTTTTCTGAATAAGTTTTGTTTTTTGTTCTCTTTTGCAACTATAGAGTCTCTCAACAATTTTTATAGCAAGTATCCTAATATGAAAATATTACAGAGAAATGTGATATTCCTTCTTTACAATGAACCATACATAAATCGTAAAATTTTTATTTTGCCGATAATTTGTTCATTGAATGAAAAACTAGGTTAATTTAAATATAAAAAACTATAGATCACACATGCAAACTGTACTAAACTCAATCGTTCATTCTTGATTTATAAGATAGTTAATAGAATAAAACTTTCTGTCACTGTATTTAGTAGAAAACCATAGACTTATAATAACATATTATGAAGAGACACGTATCTGAACGATAGCTGAAGAGTAAAGAGATATAATCTCTCTCCGAAAGTCATTTGTACTAATTCTAAGGATTAGCACATTACTGAGAAGTCGGGTAATTCACCGATAGATATCCCAAGTATCGAGTTAATAAAGTTTAATTGTTGTTTTGTACCCATTGTACTGACATCTCACAAATGAAGATAGATAAAATCTTCCAACTATTTGTGGAAGCTATCTTCGAGATAGAACTTGTTCATAACCAAAAGTGGAAGTATGTATCTCCTCTTGCATCTTTTATAAAGTGTAGGAAAAATTTTCTTCCTCAGATGTATTCTACTAGTGAGAATACTGGTGGTGATAAGCCTTCAAGATTCTAGTCTTTTTTAATAGACGAGACTATTTTTTGTTTCTCGTCGAGATTGAGCTTGTCTATCTCTTGCTGCTTTCGAAATGGCTATTTTAATCGCTTTATTCATTCTTTCTGAATGTTGTTTTAGAGACATTGTCGACGAAGTATTCTTATGTGTTTGTACTGGTTTGTTACGTTTCGATGTCCACTGCCATTTGCTTAAATCAAATGAATTTTGTGTATTTGCAATTGATGACCATAACAATGAACTATTATGATCTTTTGTTGATACATCTAAATCATGTAATAATAAACTGGTTGATGAGCGATCATCGAGAATTGAGTCGGGTGTTTTACGATGAGTTGGATTGCCACCTAGTCGAATTGTATCTACAAATACGATGAGTAATTTTTTCTGAATAAGTTTTGTTTTTTGTTCTCTTTTGCAACTATAGAGTCTCTCAACAATTTTTATAGCAAGTATCCTAATATGAAAATATTACAGAGAAATGTGATATTCCTTCTTTACAATGAACCATACATAAATCGTAAAATTTTTATTTTGCCGATAATTTGTTCATTGAATGAAAAACTAGGTTAATTTAAATATAAAAAACTATAGATCACACATGCAAACTGTACTAAACTCAATCGTTCATTCTTGATTTATAAGATAGTTAATAGAATAAAACTTTCTGTCACTGTATTTAGTAGAAAACCATAGACTTATAATAACATATTATGAAGAGACACGTATCTGAACGATAGCTGAAGAGTAAAGAGATATAATCTCTCTCCGAAAGTCATTTGTACTAATTCTAAGGATTAGCACATTACTGAGAAGTCGGGTAATTCACCGATAGATATCCCAAGTATCGAGTTAATAAAGTTTAATTGTTGTTTTGTACCCATTGTACTGACATCTCACAAATGAAGATAGATAAAATCTTCCAACTATTTGTGGAAGCTATCTTCGAGATAGAACTTGTTCATAACCAAAAGTGGAAGTATGTATCTCCTCTTGCATCTTTTATAAAGTGTAGGAAAAATTTTCTTCCTCAGATGTATTCTACTAGTGAGAATACTGGTGGTGATAAGCCTTCAAGATTCTAGTCTTTTTTAATAGACGAGACTATTTTTTGTTTCTCGTCGAGATTGAGCTTGTCTATCTCTTGCTGCTTTCGAAATGGCTATTTTAATCGCTTTATTCATTCTTTCTGAATGTTGTTTTAGAGACATTGTCGACGAAGTATTCTTATGTGTTTGTACTGGTTTGTTACGTTTCGATGTCCACTGCCATTTGCTTAAATCAAATGAATTTTGTGTATTTGCAATTGATGACCATAACAATGAACTATTATGATCTTTTGTTGATACATCTAAATCATGTAATAATAAACTGGTTGATGAGCGATCATCGAGAATTGAGTCGGGTGTTTTACGATGAGTTGGATTGCCACCTAGTCGAATTGTATCTACTGATGAATCAATAAATGTGCCTAAAGAAATAATAACGCATATATATTATTCCTCAATAGTCAGAGACACGGTATACATACTGTCTTCTGTTAGTTGAGGATTGTCTAGAAAAAATAATTGGAAGCAAATTTACATAATTTATCTGGTTTTAAATGTTTAAACCTACACTGGAATAACTTCACCATATTCTTTTTCGCACTTTCATGCTGTAGTTCACGTAGTTTTGATCGTAATTCTGCACGAGCATACGTATATTTTGTTAATTGTGTAGTTTGTTCCATATTTAAATCGTTTATTTTTAGGCGAAGTTGAAGCACTTCTCGTTGATTCTTATGTCGAACACGTGTTTGAAGATCAAAAATTTTGAATGTTGCTGGAACAACTCGTGAACGACTATTACCCATGTTTTCCTTAACAAAAAATCAATGTCTACAAAATTAATCAAGATGAAATTAACTGAGTAGTAGTAGTATTTATTATGTGTATGCGTGTGTGTATGACTATCAGCTCCATTAACGAAAAGAATGGTAAACTTGAAGATTTTTCAATTTGTTTTGAAAAGGTATTTTATCTCTAATGGTCAATTATAAATTGCACTTAAAGGTTTAGTTAACAATAATAAAAATAAACAGAAACATAAATAGTAGTATCGAACAAAGAAAACAACCAAAATATGCAGAAAAAAACAGGGGGCAAAATAAATGTCTTTTTTAGCATCAATAATCTTTTGTTTGTGGTCAGAGAGAAATTGTTGTAGTACATCAATAAAAAGAAAATAAAAAGATCTTTATCAAGTTGTTTGAGTAAATTTTACTCATTTTTTGAGTAAGCTTTTTAAACATTATTAACCATTGAATAATTTTTCCATTGAGTATACACTGTAAAAAATAAAGTATGTTACTAGGTGTGTAAATCTTCTAACTGTTTACTTGACATCGAAAAGTGTGTATTTTTCTAAATGGTCAATATAAGTGTGTAAAGAGCTAGGTGAGTTAAAAAGATTTCTTATTTTCCATTTTTCTCTCGAACTGCACCAAATGAAAAAGTAATTTCAGAATCATTATCTTCGAAAGTATATATGCTGTCATTTCCAGTAAAAACGAATAAGAAAAAAAAGCGCAGAGAAACGTCGACATATGGTAGATTTGAACAATCGATTGATGAATCTGAGACATTTCCAGCACAGATAGTTTAGACAAGTAGACTATATCATTGTTTTCAGTGTGTAAAGCCAGACGGCCATTTCTAAGTGTGTACTTTTCATACTTTGCACCGTATATTCTAGACGGTCACTTTGAATCGACTTGGCTGATTTTTCACACGCTTTTTTTACAAAAACAGTAATCCAATTCAGTCTTTTAAATTAAGAAGTTTATATAAGCCGAGAAAGCTTTAGTAATTGGAATGAAATTTTAGTGGAAGAAATATGTGATAGATGAACTGAATTTACACGATGTTTTTGGAAAAAAATCGTATCATACCGCAAAATATCAGCAATATCGGCCGATCGATTATACTTCATACTAATGCCGGTATACCGATCGGCGTTGTAACCGGTTACACCTCTGTCAAGAGGTTCCTTCGTGAGTACTCATGCCTGAGTATTATTGAACACTCATATAACTTTTGGCAAAATACTTCTGAGTATTGTTCATTTGGTATTTCCATATAGAGGAGTGATCTCAGCAGCCAGAGTTGGACTACAAGTATTGTCATAAACGAGTCCATATCTGACTATGTACAGAGAGATCAGTGAGAAAAAAACAATATAAATATTCTATGTTTCTTTACTAAATTCTACGTTCTTTATACAGTTTCATTTTACGAAAATAAAACGGTGAGTGAATATAGTACTCATTGAGTAACAATACTCAAAAATTGTTAGTAGAACTCATATGGGTACTCACAGACAAACTATGGATAAAGTCGTACGTATAGTTTGATATAGTTTTTTGCTTTTGCTGTAGTTTATACTTTTTATTATAAAAGCTCAATTTCGAATTCAAATGAACTTGTTTAGTATTAGAAGTATATTGCTGACACTAAACTGCTCGAGCTAAGTTTATGGGAATTTAGTTAGTTTGATGAAAAGAATTTGCGATCGAACCTTCGCGTAAGCATACTTTCGTAAATTAGGCTGGGGTGAGTCAGAACCGGACATATAGCAGCGTATGAAAGAGAAAATCACATGCTGGAGAATTCTCTTCAAAAAATGCGTCTTAAGACACATTTTTTCAAACTTATTCTCGAAAGAACTGCCTTTCTTACTCTATTTTTGGCTCTCCATAAAATTTGTTTACGAAATAAGCGCATCTTTTCATCTCAATTCACATTCTTTTTTGTAATGCTCTGTCTGTTCGTTGACTTTTCTTATTGAAAAATTTATATTATTGTATTTTTAAATGTATTTGCTAATTGTATTTTTTCCTGTTTTAATGTGATTTATTCAATGACCTGAAATATTTTTACAGTTTTTCCAACCCAGCGACTCTTTTTCTGAACGTTTATATCTCCCATACATGATTAAAAGCCATGAAAAAGAAACGAATCGGGAAGATTCATATGCGGCAAGAACGCACAAGAAAAGCAAAAGCAGAGTAGCAAGAGAAACCAGCAAAAAAGAGTCAGATTCATGCATCCTTCGTACATAAAATCGTATATGATCGTTTAAAATCAGACACGATCTTATGTAATCTTACTATTTCGCACATAAGATCTCATAGGATCAGGTCAGATCAGATCGTACAATATCGTGCGTACGATTGCTGTACGAAATGTATAGTCCGGACTCTGTGACTTTTCAGGGACCACGATTCGGACGCCGATCGTACCATTTCATATGTATGAATTTATACGATTATTCTAGATCATACCAGTTCGTGTACGATAACACAGTACAATCGTATCTGATCATATTCGATCTGATACGATCCGCTCGTACGAGTCTTCGACCTGGAAAAGCTACAGAAATAAGAAGGAAAAAATTAATTTAGGGCTTTTCTTGTAAATTCTATAACTTTGCAAAGAAAGATCGTGTAAAGCTGGGGGGTGTCTCATTTTAATCAGAAATTTGCGGGCTACAATCATGCCTCATTAAGAAAGGTTCTAGTTATATTTTAGTTTCTGAAAAACTGGTTTTCTAGGAAACCGGGTCTTCAAAAGGCTAAGAGCCATCCCCATGGTCATATTCGGAATCAGCATGGTCGATAACCTATAATCCGCTAGATTCCTAGCAAAAAGCGTTCTATCACCTCGAGAGGTTCCCTCGTCAGAGTCGTACCCACAATACTCATCACTCACTTGAGGAGTGCGCATCTAAGTACTCACACTTCAGTACATTCACTAGGATATGCTTACAACAAAAATTTTATACCGTGCTGCTCTATCGATCTTTTAAATCTGTTGTATACTCTAAAAGAAAATGCGACTTCTAGAAAGACCCAGGGAAACCTTTTTTAGCAAAAAACGCGTTGATGTGCGTTAATTTCTAACGCATATAGCAGGATGAATTTTGACAATTTCAACGCGTTGAAACGCGTTAGTTTTTAATGCATTTGTATTCGTTAAAAATCAATTAAAATGAAAAAAAATAAAATTCATCAAATAAAATTTTGGTACACGTTTGTATGCATACACACGACTATACAACCTGTTAGAGTGACAAAGTAGAGAAAGAAAGCAACTTGTACTTATATGACTCCAGTGTGATTCGAACGCGGGTGCCTAGAATTAAGAGGCAAACACATAACCGTCGGAGCTAAAAGACGATCAAAACATATACAGTAACAATGCCATGTGTTTCGATCACCTCAGTCAGATAGAAGACTGCTTGATCTCACACAACCAAACGCGTTAGATCACTAAATAATGGTCCTGCTAAACCCGTTGGTAATTAACGTATCTTAACCCATCCGTTTTTTCTAACGCGTTTTACACAAACGCGTCTATTTTCACCCAAAACGCGTCAAACCGCGTTTACTCAAAAAAAGGCTTCCCTGGGGGCGTCGAAGTCGGTTTCCATTTAGTCACATCATTGCGCCTATTTTGAAAATACATGATGGGACTACCTGTAGTAGTCACATCCAACCGCCTCCTTCTAAGTTACATGGAAGGATGGTAGGTAAAAAACGGAAAACGGAAAACGGAAAATGCATTATATTAGTCAATTAGACCAATCATCAGCATTTCGAACTTGATTGGTCTAACTGACCAATATAATGCATTTTCTATTTTCCGTTTTCCGTTTTTTACCTACCACCCCTGGAAGACACTAAAGTTTAGGAGTACTTTAGCGACTCTTTTGCAGTCGCTCTGATATATCTCCTACACATTAAAAACTTTTTTTGTTTCTGTTAAGAATTGAACTCGGTCTATTCGCTTACCAGCCGAATATGTTCATCAGTGAACCACACATGCACATTAATTATTAGTCTTACTGATCGCTTACGTTAATGTTTTATGTGAGACATTAAAAACCTAAAGCAAAGACACCTGAAAGTTGCTAAGACAGATAAAGATTGCTTTTCTTGCTTTTCGCTGGCAATTTACGTATCTCACATGATAATATTGACATTCTTAACTACTTCTCTAAAATTTCCTTAGACTTCTCGGTAGCAGCTTCTATTTGTCTTTTCTAGAAAATCAATAGCTCCACAGAAACAGCAGAAGCAGTAGATTCGTCAAGTATTCTCAATCTTTACCCATGGTATAGGCTTTAATCTGAAAATAAATTTAGAAAATCGCTTCTACGTCTGCAACAAAACTGAATACAGATTCGCTTCTTTAATGAAAAACTTTCGTCACGCGGTACTCTAATCTGTAAATCAGTATTCCCAAGGCATCCAGGAGGATGTGACTACTAAGCACCTTTTCTCGCTCAAACGTCTTCCATCCGATTCCAGTGTGACTTCCATATGCCTACACATTGAAGACATTTGCAAAAACACCTCCTGTTTTAAAGACGCAATCTAGTTACATAGAAGATACTTTTTTTCGGTAGACACATCGCTGAAGTCGTATTTTTTTCCTAGAGTGTAGTGTGAAAGTTAGAATCAGGCATAATTATGATCCATGTTTGAATTCTAGAATTAAGTTACCTTAAACAAAATGTAAGTCGAGGAATGATGCTTAGTGGTATGCGATAAACTCTGAATTTTTGCGCTCTGACTTTGTTGAATCCTTGTCACTCATTTTTTTATAGTAGTACATGAAATTTTTCTCCAGATTTCAACGTTTTATAGCAAAATTTACTCTATAATCATGTTTTAATGGTTTTGATAAACAAAGTAAGCATGAAATAGAATGCAATGACTATACAGGAACAACGAAAGAGTCTGAAATTGTTCGTCTTAAAGTAGTTAACCGCTTCGTCTGGATGATCGATGAATAGTCCATCAATGTGCAATGTATTAAAAAAGTAATTTAGCATTTCTTCCATCGTTTTCATATAGTTTGGTAATCCATCACTTCTAAACGTATATGGATGAACTTCGAGATGATATTTTTTAGCATATTCCACTAATGGTGCTGGACTCAGCTTGTTTTCACCATCAACCTGTATCAGCCTTGAATAATGTGGTCCGATTCCATCGACAAATGACGATAACTCTTCGATTCCCTTCTCACTTGTCCAATCGGTTGCATCTCGCTTTTCGACTGCTCTGCTAACATCTTGTGTCTCTTGGAACAGAGCAGCCAATTTCAAATCTGACTGTAAAACATTGCGTATTCGACGTAAGCTTTACTTTGTCAATACGTCTACGACAATTTCTGTGATGCATTTATTCGACTGGCGATGAAACAACGGTTCTTTTATTTCTGTGTAGATGCCAATCGAATTTCTTCGCGGCAAAATTCATACCTTGAATCATTTCAATTTCTTCTGATAAACTTGCTAGTGAAAACTTTCCTTTATCAAGTGAAAAACGTTTTGGAAACACGGGCAAGCCCGTAATATGATTAAACCGTTCAGATACATTTAACGCTTTTACTTCTTGAAATGTGAAATCAATGACATAGTATCGTCCGTCCGGACGATGCCGATCCGGATAGATCTGTTTTACATCTGTCACTTCGTCGAGATAAATATCGTGAATGATCAGAGGCACATCATCTTTCATCAACGCGACATCTTGTTCAATGTAATCAACGTCATATCCAAATGCTAGAAATAATACGACAATGTCAACAAAAGAAAGAGATGATAAACTGTATACATGATTACCCATAGCTTTCGATGGCAGAGTATGTTCTGGTAAATATCCACTGGCACCTCGATGTGCAATTATCAATGACTTCTTCTCTTCTTTCTTGTCAACAACTTTTCCATGACATGTCAAGCAAATGATGAAGAAGTGTTTAGAACCAAACGAAACAACTTCCCTTTGAAAAGGTGTGGTTTTCATCACAAAAAAGTTTTTCTACTTACACGAATGCGAGTGACCTCATGTCTCTTTTTCTTACTTTATTAACAAACAAGCAGATGTAATATAAAGTGTGGGATAGTTGCAACTATCTGTTCTGTTTGCTTGAGTCGTGGTTCGAATGACAAAATTCTCTTAATCTGATATATATCACACATAAAAAGATAAACAAATCAACTGTTTTCTAGATGACGAGTGGACAAAGAACAATGTGCTCTCTGGAAATAGTGTGGTTAAACTAAAATATTATGGTTCATAGCTGGTGTTGGAAGACATCTATCACCTCTCGCCAATATGTTTCTCGAAAACCGCTCCGTTCTAAAAGCATCGAAGCCGAGATCTACGGCAGCATCTCGCTGAATCTCGTTCACTCGAGCCCTTATCAGTCCTCCGTCCAGTTTAAACAGCGAACTGTGACTGAGAAGTTATAAGGAAAGGAGAGACGACTTGTGAATGAATCGAAAAACACAGCATTGCATATTTGTGGGCTATGATCATCGATTCAAGCATGTTAGATCAGGTATTATTTCATAAACAATATTTTCAGGATATAGACATTTCTTGTTTTCGAACTAGTGTCGCATCTGAGGTAGAAGCCTGGTCTCAATGACCAAACAAATGAATGGTTAACGTCGTTCTTCTTTTTCTTTTCTTTGCTCTTGTTCGTCTATTGTTTTCTCTTCTAATGATCTGATAAGACAAGAAATGGCTTCTTAGCACTTGAAGATATTTATCTCATGGGATTTAATTGAAGGATATTTTTGTGACAATGTTGAGCTCATTTGATCTATGTTGAAAAGTTGTTTGTACTCCAGTTAATTGCAAATATACAATACACCTCGTAAGAGAACAGTTCTTATTAATTGAAATAAACATGCATTAGATTTATCCGGATGTCATATCATCGCTGATCATATCTTCGTGTATTTTATCGTGCTAAGCAAGTAAGTAATGAGATCGTGTGGATTAGCCGATAAAAAGTCGCGAAGTGATGTACTGATGGATAAGAACGGATATGACCAAACCGATGGACAAAATGATCTAACGGCCAAGGGATACTGTTGCTAGACCTTAGACGTTTTTGATCGGCAGCATCACTTTGCATTAAATACATTGCAAAAGAATCGCAATCAATAATTACCCATTCATTTTTTTTCCTTGGCCGTTAGATCAGAAGACAAGATATACTGTCTCACTACCAGTGTTTCATCAATCAAAAGTCTTAAAAAGAATTGCTCACATCTCATAAATGTGTATTGTTCTTTGCATTTCACTCATGTTTCATGCAAGAAGAACGTTCTTCCGTAAGTAGGGATTATTAAGCTATTTTCGCTTGCATCTTTTAATCACAATTAACAGATGACATGAAATATGATGGACTTTGTTCTTTTTACTCGCTGACTTAAAAACTGTTTGCTGGATTGAGCAATGACGTGCGTGGAGCTTGACGGTAGCCCTCTTTTTTGAAAAGTTTTCGATTTTGAGTTGAACATAGACTAATGTGGAGGAAAGTTTAGCTACAAAATAAGATCACTCCCAGCATTTTACTACCTTCTTTGGAAAACCTAATGGTTTCCGGAATTTCGGAAACCAAAAAGTATTGCCAAAAACTCATCAGGATTTCCGAAGTCGGTTCGGAAACCTTTGCAGGTTTTTGAAGGAGTTTCCGACGTAGTTTGGCTTTCCAAAAAAACGCTTCTTTTATAGAGAATGATATGAATTTGAACTCAATCGGACCTTCGCTCTCTATTTGCCAAGAAGCTGAAAAAAGAGGGGGCACCATTAACATATGGTGACACAGAGAATTGACTGCTCCGAAATTAATACAAACATGAAACAAATTGTTTCTATATAAACCGAAGAGTAATTACGATGTTTTGTTAGGATTAAACTGTTTCTCTCTCTCTCTAATTTTTCTACAAATGAATTTATTGAATAATTAACAATATATAGTTATATTCTCTGCTTTCTAATTCAATAGATTTTCCACGGTTTACTCTCCATTTTTTTTATGATACACAAGCTATTAAACACAATATAAATAAGATGTTTTTCCCTTTTTTTTTACGTGTATGAACTCGAATCAGCTTACCACAATAAAATATAAACGTAGCAACGTATAATTACCTTAATAATCTGTTTTTTTTTCCAGTTCACCTGTGTAAGATGCTTGTTAGTCTAATTTCTTTGTTTTATTTATGGTGATATCTTATTGATAATTCCACTGAATTAAAACTTTGTGATTGTTTTAAGTAACATAATGTGATGTAGTAATTGATTCATTGATTGAAAAGTTAATCATGTCAAGTATTCAGTCGACAGAAAATTGGTTCACCGAACGTATAAACACACATATAGGTGTAATTTAAACATGGATAAATACTCTTTTCCCAACTCATTCTATTACTAAGCAAGTAATGTATCGAAGATTTTTCATACTTCTCGTGGGAAAACAGAGTTTAAAAGATTCTAACTAACTGAGACAGTAAGACGCACGTTTAGGACGTGCGTCATACTGTCATTGTGTTTCCGTCTACAAATTAGTAACGATTCTCTCTACGCCAAGTTTGTTCGTATTTTTCAATGGATATGAAATAGTCGTAATTACATCGAGTACACGATAAAGGCTAATCTATAGTTAATCTTTTATAGTATAAATGCTTCTAATTGCATATAGTTTCTGTCATATTCCAGTTTATATCCAATTTAATCATCTTTAGACGACAAATTTAAAATTGATCACGAATAAAAACAATATTAGAGTTGTCACGAAGAAAATAAAGCTATAGTAAGATTGCTCTCGTGTAACATAAATTAGACTTCTAAAAACATTTACGTGAATATATGAATAATTATGATAAATAGAGCTAACACAAATAACAATATCTACAGAGAGAGAGAGAGCTGTTACTCGATAAGACACAGCAGCAAGACGGCATAGATATCATTCATGTAACATGATAGTGTTTTTCTTATAAAGCAAAAATTACTGTTCTTGTCAGATTTTTGAGTTATTTGATAATCATCTCAAATTGCTAATGAATACGATATAAAAACTTGAGTATCTAATTACTGTAGCTCTATATGAGTTCAGAGAAATTTCAGAAACTAAAAACGGGAGAACTCATGAAATAAATAGCTATTAATATCTGATGGGTCCGAATTTTTCTTGATTTACTATTTAAAATTAGCATGACTTTATCTTCGAAAGAGATGAATGTTGACTCTTACTACAAATAAGTACTTTCTGACTATTCGATTATTGATTATTCTAAATATCCATGTGTTAATGTTTGTTACAGATAAAGTGAAAAAAGCGCATTTTGAAATAAATACGTTATCTAGTTTTCGCTGTGAGGGTACAAAAATAAAATATTTATGTATCGCACAAAACCTAGTCAAACTGATTGAAATTTTTCGTTGTTGATCCAACGGATAGATTGAACATTTTAGAATATCAAAATAATTTTAAATTTATCTTCTTATCGTAAGACGGTTTTTTCGAAGGCATCTATGCTTTTATTCATTTTCAATGTTACTTGTTACTAGCCTGAAGACTGTGAGCAAAACTAATAGCATATCTAAACTGTAGTTGATAAAGAGGTCGTGTGGTATATGCATATGTAAAAGGCACTCTAGGATATCAACTCACATCAGGGGTCTATAGAAACATTTTGTATAAAAACTTCATTTTCAAAGTCATGAATATATACGATCGTCACATGACATTTTGAACTTAAGTTTCTCATAGAAAAAGGTAACAAACTCTGCAGGTGCATAGGAACATACTGTTGATTTGGCAACATTATTCAGTGTATATCAAGTTAGCAGTTCGGATCGTTATTTGCGATTATTATAAGGAAACTTCAATGACCGTCTCGAGCTTTTGACATACATAATGCCTTAAAAAAACATCAACGTTGCTCATTAAGGAGTTTTCTTTTCTTCTGATACTCAAGCTATTCTATTCGCGTATGTATTGATGATTAATTAGAATAATTAATAAGAAAGTTTGTGTTCAACAGATATATTTTTTTAGTACTTATTTGTGTCATCTTAACAATGCTAGCTAAAATAGCAGCACTTTTTCCATTTAGTGTCCATTTACCTATTATTGTGTGCTGAAAAAACTAACTGTTCTATTAATATTTTTTTTAAATATTTTTTTCATTTTTCATGTACTTGTCACGCAGTCGTACAAATTTATTAATGCATAAATGATTAAAACTTTAATAGACGATCATATAATCGTTCCGTTTTCCTTGGTGATTTGAATTCAAATTCTTGACTCTGGAAAAAGAACTCGCATGTTCAAGGTAGATTTAGTTACGAAAAACGAAAAATACCATCGGAGTGTAATTATGCCTAATTATCTTCATCTTTATCTCTTTCTTGTTGACACATCTATTTACAATAAAGTACACCACTGAGCGAGAAATGTACTGTAATCTAGTAGGATCAAGCACAAAGGCGTAGTAGCTCAGTTTAGTAAACAACGAATACTAAACTGAGGTTCGCAAAATTGTTTGAGAGAATTTTTATCTCAGACGGTGTTTATTTGGATTTTAATACGTAAATATGCGATAGTGTCTGTTACGTGAATTGACACAGTGCATCTCGTCGTGCATTTTTTATTACATTATTGCAGCGTCCAACCACTATCGCTAAATTGTATTATTAATTGAAAAAACAGTGTTATATCCTAGTCTAATTGGTCTAATTATTTTTTTTCTTTCACCTTTTCAGAATCATGCTTACTCGTAGCCATAATATAGTACGCGATAGTACTCGTTAAATACTAAGAAATGTTCATACATTTTTTTGATCCTCTCCATTCATGTTAGATTTCATAAGTTTTATCTTGCAACTAGATTTCACAAGATCATGCACACTCTTACTACAGAATTATGTAAAGATTTTGCCTCATTTTGTATTTTGCAGCAAGAAGTACATAGGAACTCATTTGATCTTAAAAAAACTTATAGGAAAACCTCAGCTTTTGTAAAATTTTATTGAACGTGTTTCTTCTAGGTTTTTTTAGTTAACAGCACATTCAGAGTTTGAATCAGTCACCATATTTTAGTGAATTTCTCATTTAAATAGTCAGTTTCTGAGAAATACTATTAGATGCAAGATATCATGATTCATTTTGAAAATTGACATTCGACTAACATTCTTTCATACGATTCATGATTTAAGTATGAACAGTATAATATGATCGTCACTGTTATATTTAAATACGAGTGAGTTGACAGAAAAAATAGACATTACGTTGATATACACTGTTTTGACTAACTTAATAGCGCTAATGTGATGGTAATTGCTTATCACGATCTATTGTGCTCCAGCATGATGCCTTATGGCATCATTATACATGTTTGGATGTACTGAAATTTCAAGTAACCCTATTTGTATGGCAAAAAGCGTAGATCCGTACGCTTAGCAGTCGAGTTTGACACAAATTGACGAGAATACGTAGATAGTGAAATGTAATGTTAGCAGAAAAAAGTTGTTGAAAGCATAAATACATTAACAATGTGTAATTAACCCAAATTTATGTAGTTAAGTCGAACAGCCACTAAGAAAATTCGACCACAGGTATCAAATAAGAAGAAAAGGCTTTCTCACATTTTCCAAATTTTTTTCTGAAAACTTTCAGGGCTTTCCTTCGTCAGAAGAAAAAATGTGGCTTTAAGTTTACAGTGGTTTCGGGGCAAAATGGCTGGCTGCTTTTGCCCCTTCTGTTATTTCTCCCTCCCCTTCCCCGTACTAGAGCGAGAATTGAATGTTTCTTGTGTTTTAGTTTAAGGAAATGATAGCTAAATTAGTGAGTACTAATTATATATTTGTGCGTATATTCAGGAGAAAAGTTTCCACATTTTGGCACCCTGGGGCAACGCTGACAACCTTTTTTGTCTGCCTGTACCAGTATGTCAAATTTTTATAAATTCATCAAATAATTTATGAAACTGTGAGAAAAAGAAATGAACATTGCTTTTATTTGATTTATTTAACATGCTTGTGCAAAAACAGAAAATTTGCCTACTACGCATCATAATGCCAGATTATAGATCTTTTTTTGTTTAAAAATATCCAACTGATAAAAAGTGGGAAAACATACGAAGATATTTTTTTAATATTGACCAAGTTGATGATGTAGACATACAATTTATTTCATTACTACAATTGCTTGGCTTACTTAAGATATGTGGGCGTATTATATACTTCAGTATTCGCCCATCATTAATTTTCACTAGCAAAAGTAGCAATTGTAGACTTTAAAAAGAAAAGAAACAAAGTTCAATATGTTAAAAATGCATGAAAATCTTTTGTATAATCAAACCTATTGATTCGAATAAAGGTTTACTAAATGTATATTAACTCATCAAATGACATTCTGTTCTATGATATCTCCTATTGTAATCAGTATTTTTCTCTTTCTTTTTGTGTACCTTTTTCTACTCTTTTTTTTCATATAGATTCTACATATAAAACAGAAAAACATTTTTCTTTTTAATAAAAGAAAACAAAGCAGAAAATTCATTTCATTGGCAAGAACAACTGTAAAACAACAGAAGAAAAACGTCACTATATTCAGTTTGTAAAAATAAAATAATACTACCATGCCCACAGGAAAGAACTATCATTCTAAGATGATAATATATGTAATTAACTATTCTTGTTTTGTTGTTATTATGATTTAAAACAGAAAATTTCTTGATAATAGATAATGAAACAACTATATCTATTTAAAAAGAAATTCAACTATGAATAATTATTCAAATAGAACATTATCATCATGGAGTAGTGGTGGTTTTATACAGAAATTTCAATTATTTTATGTTCCAACATTAGTCTTTTTTGGTATAACCGGAAATATTATATGTGCAGTTGTATTTAGTACAAAAACATTGAGGTAAGTAAAATAATATTAAAATTAGCATTGATAACTTGCTATTAATCGCTATCATCATCTAAAGACACCCATGGACAAACAAAGGAAACCTTTCTATAACATCCCAGTGAGGTACAGTTTCGTTCTAAGGGTATTCTGATAAAAACTGAATAAAATTGAAAATTTCGCGTCCGAACGCGTCTTCTCTCGGTTTTTCCAGTTTTTACCAGAAGAATACGTACGAACGTGTTCTTAGAAACAGAACGCGGAGCATGTCACGCTTAGAAATATTCCAATTAATGAACTGAAAATCTTAAATAGCAATTAAGTTACACACAATATTCGCAAAAGGAGCGTTATAGTGAGTATAAATCTAAAATACGAGTACAAGAATGAGTGTTCCTGAGTAATAAAATCTTGAACAGAATTCCGTCACTAGAGGCAAAATATGTCCTTCCGATTGTAGTATAATGCCCAGAAACGAATATGGTTTGAACAGTCTTTCAAAGAACTGCGAAAAAGAAGATTTCTAGTTAACAAGATCCATTGAACTGATGCAGAAAATAGGAAAAAACCGAAAATAACATAGATTTTATGTAAAAACACATATCTAAACAAAAAATGTGTTTAACGCTTTAAACCGACATTAATAAAATTATTGAATAGTAGTGAGTGGCATCGTCAAAGGGATGGTAATTTATTGTGTAGATATTTTTTTAGTTTTAAAAACAATATTTCGTATTGTTGCTCAAAACAGAGACCAGAGAAAATAGAAAACAGAGCGAAATTAGAAACTGTCCTGTCGATTATCTTATACTAATCAAATAAACTTTCCGATACCTGAAATATAGTGACATTTCATAAATTGTAAAATAGATACCTGTACCGGTTAACAAAACGCAGTCATAATCCGATCCTTTAAAAATATTTTTTTCTTCACAAATATTTTAATTATCCCCTAAGACATCTGAATAATGTAGGTTATTTATGTCAAAAATAGACATCGCCGTTTATTTTTGCTAATTTTCTCTATCTTCAATAGCGAGCTTTTTTGTTTTTTTTTCATTTTCTCCACAACATAAGAATAGTGGAGAAAAGCCGATAAGGGTGGTTTAATAGCAGAAAGAATACTTAGAAAGATTGAAAAAAAGTATAATACGATAGACCATGGGATCGAGTTGCTGCATTCTATTCTAGATTGAACTGTTTCGAGTTATATTTAGTTATCAAACACTTCGATAAACGAATTTTTGGAATTCTTCCGCATAACTAAAATTTACTCATTCGATGTAGACTCTATAGTGACATAATATTTGCTTTTAGACGATTAAGATCATCATCTTATCTGTTAACGTTAGCCATTAGTGATATTTTCTTTCTTTTGGATCTATTACCCGGTTGGATTTACGTTGCATTTGTTCGACGTTTATACAATTTTCACATGTTGTGTAAAATTCAAACATATATTTCATTTGTGGTACCATTCGTTCATATATGGATTGTATTAGCGTTTACTGCTGAACGATTTTTTGCTGTTACTAGTCCATTGAAACATATGTCTCGTTGTACAGCATCTACTTCTCATAAAGTGATTACAATTATATTAATTCCAGCGTTTCTCTTCTATATTTATCCAGCATTTTTTGCATCCGAAGTTGATGATCGTGGACAATGTCGTGAGAAACGTGAACATGTTCATCATCTCAATAATATAAATATTGTCGATACATTTATGACAATGTTTTTACCATTTATACTTGTCTCAATATTAAATATATTAATAATACGAAAATTATTTTGTTCAGAAACATTTCGAATGTATGTATTTGAAAATGGTAGTCGATATCATACACGACGTACATCAAACTGGACAACAAATACATCAATAAAAATTGATCAAGCAAGTATTACACATTCATCTGTACCATCATCACCACAACGAAGCCCAAACACATTTCGAAAAGTTCATACTATACCACCAATAAAATGCAATATACAACAACATACAGCTAATTATCGAGCATTTACAAATAGATCATCATCGCATTCAAGTTTAAATAGTATGGCGGAAAAACAACTATCTCATCGTGTATCCCATCCTCAACCATCTCATAAAACATTTCAAGCTCTTAAAAGTACATCGGGAAAAAAACGAACAGATACCGTTCGAAATGTTCTTACAGAAGTAAGATTAACGAAAATGCTATTGGCCATTTCTTTCACTTGTTTATCATTAAATTTTCCATCGTACTATTTACGTTTAATGTTTTTCTATGAACATACCAAAGATAATGATAATAATAATAATGAGACAACAATAACAATTATGGATGAAAATAAAATAAAAATGATCACCTATCGGGATATGATGTTACTTTATTTAAGTTATCTAAGTTATTCAATTAATATTTTAATTTATTTATTTTTTGGGGCAAATTTTCGTCGAGCATTAAAACGTTTATGTTGCACAGTCGTTACACAGAAAAGGACGAATGAACGAGAAAATACTGTTCTTTTATTTTCAACGGCTGTGCGGACGGTTAAATCGTATAGTACCAGTGATACAAGTCCAAGAGTTAGCTTACTGAAAACATAAAACCTTCTAACTTCTACCTGTTACTACCTACTTCTATCTACCTTGTTTTACTGTATATGTCTACTTCTTTTATAGCAGCTCGACTCTATAGAAAAAAATCTGATTTATTTAAAGGAAGTCGGCAAAATTATGATCGGATCATTCCAGGCAAACGAATCGATCGGATCATTCGAAGCAATCGTAGTATAATGTAAAGCGCTCCTCTGTGATGTTTGTATAAGAGAGAAAAATATATAAAAATCTATCTTCTCTTATCCATTTTATTCATTTTTTTCCTATCTATTACATTTTATTAGCTGTTATATATAACACATCAAAGAACACATTAACTGTGGTAATTAATTATACATAATATATATATTCTCTTTGGCCTTATCACTTCCTAATATGGTTTTAAACAAATAGTAAGAATGATTTTTGCCGTTGTCATTCACCGTTGTCATAGCTATGGCAATGACGGCGAAAAATCATTCTTACTATTTGTTTAAAACCATATTAGCAAGTGGGGGATAAGGCCAAAGAGAATATATATATTATGTATAATTAATTACCACAGTCAATGTGTTCTTTGATGTATTATATATAACAGCTAATAAAATGTAATAGATAGGAAAAAAATGATTAAAATGATAAGAGGAGATAGATTTTATATATTTTTCTCTCTTAAACAAACATCACAAAGGAGTGTCCGAATGATTCGTTTGCTCCGATTGATGCGATCGTAATTTTGACGGCTTCGCTAAGTAACATTTTTTTTCTTTTAATTTCACTTTTTTTATCCAATCACTTAATTTTCGATTGATTTTTCGAAATTGCAGCAATCCGCATTAACGTGAATAAGAATAAAAACTTGCAAACAACTACAATGTACCAGTATATCTTAAATTTTGTTTGTTTTTCTGATAAATTTTCTCCACGGAAACCGAGATCATTTTCTACATGTTCTTTCAACAGTGAATAGCACAATGGCTTCTATTACACATACGTGAAAGTTATATGAGTGCATATTATGCTTTTTAAACTTATCTGCTTTCTTTTTGTAGAGATCAACATGTACACACACACAGTCAAGAAAACACAAGTTAGTATAAATAAAAATTTCCTTTTCTTAACGGCTCAATACACCTAACCGCACTCATCATGGTGTGGAAAAAATAGTATTTATTCGTTGTTTAGTGAAAAATTTTAGAGCAAAATTACGGTATAATGAGCCAGACAATGGTTACTCGTAAAGTAGAGCATGTACGAAGTTCAGTTGATGTTTTTTTCTTTATAAATTTCATCGTTATTATGAAACTATATATGCCAGATGTTAAACCTTTTTCAAAAAACAAACCTGAAGTCAAACCAGAGCCTAGAGAGAAAACCCCTAGAAATTTTCTGAAAAATCCTCGAAAAATCTTGATTCTATGAGCACTGAATTCTAAATTATTCTTTACCTATATGGATAAATTTTGAGTAAATTCCATTTAATTTTAAGATTTTCGTTCTAAGATGAACGCCCCAAATCTTAATGGCAATATATAAAAAAAACGATGCTTCTCAGTGATGAAATAATATTTACTAAAACCGATCATTAACTTTTTGCCACAAGTATAATGGTTAGAATAAAGGATAAAAATAGCTCCATGTTTGAACCAATAAAACTAGAAAGCTTTTCAATAAGTATACGAGCAGTTCAACGATTCTACTCGCCTTTCATTTATTTTGAAGGCATTTTTAACTTAAAAATTTATTATTTAGTTTTACATGATATATCAGAAAACATATTCTTTAGAATTTGTCATGAAGAAAACCAGCAAGCGTAATATGAGATTCTGCTACCATTATGTTTCATGTATCATTGTGTATGGTAATGTCGTCGGTAATTCAACCAAAGCAACGTTATGATGTTTCATATGACGATATTTCTTTGTTATTGCCCATTTACCTTGAGTTGTTGTTCGAGCAAAATTCCAAAAATATTGTTTTCATTATACCATAGAATGAATTTATTGTATAACCAGTATATTCTTTTAATTTATACGACTAAGCAATAGAAAAATAGATTTTTAGAATAAACAAAGATAATATTAGAAATTAAATCTAAATACCTATGCCGGTTTTTTATTCATATGCAACAATAGACACAAAATAGCGGCTGCTTGTAAACTTGGTATTTGTTGAATACACTCTGAATCTAATAGTGTTATATCAGAAATGAACAATTCAAACTAAAAATAAAACTGTATTTGACAATTATTTCTACCATAAATATAATTCACACATTATTTATGTTATCCTCTTTCGTTGGTTTGGTACCAACTGCTTTTTTATAATTTTGATAAATTACTAAAACAATAGGAAAAAAAGAAATGTACAAAAAATAAAGCGCAGAGGTGCGGTATTCTGGATTACTAACACAAAATAGTGATCGTCTTTCCACAACATTTCGTCTTAGAATCTTGTGGCGAAACTTGGAGAAGTAAAAAAACGAACTTGAGCAAAAAAAAGTCGTTTCGTAGATCAAATTAAACATACCAACTATAGCCGTTCGTGGTAAATAACTGACATATTATTCTCTGTGTAATATTCTTCAATAAAATATAAACTAGAACATAGCATGTTCAAATAGTAAGAATTCAAATCTAAGATAGTAGTAGTAAGAACAATAACAGTCTGGCTGGTGTAAAAGATATCAAGCTGTTACGATACTCTACTCTTCCCCGAATCAACGTTGGAAAGAGATCATGACACAATGAAAAGTACTTCACTACACTGTAAAAAATAAAGTGTGTAAATGGCACACATAAAGTGAACGTCAAGTCGATTCAGAGTGACCGTCGAGAATACACGGCGTAAGTGTGTAAAGTACACACTGAGAAGTGACCGTCTGGCTCTACACACTGAGAACAATGATATAGTCTACTTGTCTAAACTATCTGTGCTGAAAATGTCTCAGATTCATCAACCGATTGTTCAACTCTACCATATGGAGATTTTTTTTTTCAGTTATTTTCCTATCCGTTTTTGCCGGAAATGACAGTATATATACTTTGGAAGATGGTTATCATGATTCTGAAATTATTTTTTCATTCGATGTAGTAGTCCGGGAGAAAAGTGGAAAATAAGAGATCTCTTTAACACACTTAGCTCTTTACACACTGAGATTGACCATCTAGAAAAGGTACACACTTTTCGATGCCGAGTGAACGTTTAGAAGATTTACACACCTAGTAACACACTTTATTTTTTACAGTGTATAATGAGCATTTCCTGTGCAAAAGAGTCGCAGCTGTCATTGTTTATTTGAACCAGATTCTTTGTAAACTAAGTCAACAGTATGACTGAGTGATTTGCGAATAGTTTCGTAAACGGTAAATTTATTGCACGATTATATCTGATACGGTCATACCATTATAATGTATCGCTAGTATACTGTTGTACGCTAAATATATAGTGGGAAATTCAACAATTTCCATATCCTTTTACACTTCGAGTTTCTTTTATGAATGTTTTGTAGTTAGCCATGACTTGTGTCACTAATTGAATTTATGTATATGAATCACAATCGTTCTATACAGAGATCTATCTAGTAGCACTTTTTTTAGTCTTATACGACGTCTACACTAAAATTAGCCGAACGGACACTGAGTTATGTGGGAAAATCTTAGTTAACACTACCAACCGTGACGTCTGATCTACCACGAGATTTATTTTCGTATCCCGATCCAAGCGACCGACAGAGTCTATCTTAACACTAGAATACCCAGAAATTTTCACGATCTAGAACGCACAAAGCGGTCATTTTGATCGTTACTGTTTTTTATTTTAAAATTTTATAATTAAAAATGGTTCTGAATTAAAAAATGAATTAAAAATTCTGCAAAAAATAATTTTTGTGGGACAAATTAAAAGTTATGACATAATTTATTTTTAAATAAATTGTATGCAGTTTGTTGTTTATTAAGGATAAAAATCAAAAAACAGAAAAAATATAAAAAATACAAGAAAACAAAAACAAAAAAAGAATCAAAAAACCGCTACGGGCGTTCTAGTATTAATAAAAAAAATCATTTCTTTTGGGATAAATGCTTGAGAACTGATTGATAAGGTGCGGGTAATTCAAAGTTTCCGTGACTTTTCGATTTGTTTAAAAGATACATCATTCGATAGAGCTCGTCGAGCTCTACAAGAATATGAGGTTTAAAAAATTTCTAACCCCTTTCTTCGTGAAGAAAATCTCAAAATATTTTGGTCGGGTCCAGTCTTGGGAAACTCGAATTTAGATAGAAAATGTCGTTTTTTTCTTTACAGTTTCACTTTTGGTAAAAAATAATAACATATTCGGAATCAGCATGAAAAACTGCATCTAGGAAAGTTATTTTGAGCTTGATGGGATAGGACATGTATGGACTGGAAAAATCGGTCCTCAGAGAACCGTTTTGGCTTTCTCTGCAAAGCTTATAACTCTCTGGGTTCTAAAGCGATAGCCTTGAATTATAGCTCATTCGAACCGCCTTTTCACGGGCTACAAAGTTAAGTATCCTTTTGGCTAACTTCCTTTCTCTTCCCGAGATAATGGGACTTTACCTAGTCCGAGACCGGATTTCAGCTGACACCCGAAAAACTTTTTATTTTTGTTTTTCGCCAAACACATCTCCATATATGAAGTTGACCATGCTGATCACGAATATCGAAATGAAAAGTCTCCAAAATCAAAGGTTAGGCCATTAGAATATTTTTTCGAAGTAACTGAAAAGAACATTTTCTGCTATATAAAGAAGAATTTCTCCATACCTAACAGTTGGTTTTGGAGATTTCTCGTTTCAATATTCGTGATCAGCATGGTCAACTTCATATATGGAGATGTGTTTGGCGGAAAACAAAAATAAAAAGTGTCGGGTGTCAGCTGAAATCCGGTCTCGGACTAGGTAAAGTCCCATTATCTCGGGAAGAGAAAGGAAGTTAGCCAAAAGAATGCTTAACTTTGTAGCCCGTGAAAAGGCGGTTCGAATGAG